GACAATAGGTGAAGAAGTTGTGCCAATAAACAACAGGAGACTGGAGAGTGTACGATTACGCATCTTCACTGTCTAATCCCAAAATTTAGATCTCAGCACACTAGACTACATAATCGGTAGACGTGGCGTTAACAGCGATAATGATTAACATGCCTTCAACTCATTGAAAGTGGTTCGAATCCCGGCCAAGGATAGGTTATTTTGTGTATGGTAGGTAATTCATCAGTCCCTCCAGACACACTGCTCATATGATTGTAACATGCAATTAATATAATGATGTATTAGTTGACTCCTGCATCACATTTGGGGGGGGAGGGGTTACAGATCAATGTGAGTATTTGTAGCTTGTTTAACGACGCTTTAACTAAATCACACTCTGAAGCGCTGAATGACTTGATGACAATGACTAATGAATTGAGAATGTTGTGACTTACCTAGAAAGTAAATGTAAAGCTGTCCCTGTGCTTAAGCAATTAAGCACTACTCCATAAAGACATATTGGGGAGTAGATGTGCCAGGCGTTCTTGACCTCGGCACTAGTTTGAGGTGAGTGGTGAGTTTCAGGCCCCGGTCGCTTTACCCCCGGGGAAGAGCCCCCGGTACCCATTGGATAGGATGCTGGTTGGGCCCCAGAACCGGTCTGAATGATGTGGAGAGGAGAGAAATCTCCCCTTTACCGGTACTAGAAGTCCGAGCCGTCGGTTGTCCAGCCCGTAGCCAGTCACTGTACCGACTAAGCTACCCCGGGTCGTAATTAAAAATAGTACAACTATATTTTTCTGGAGGGAGTGAGAAAAACACGAACAGCCCAGACAGGATAGATCTCCAGGATGTGATTCAGAGGCGTTAGCGTTGAGCTACCATGTTCTGCGCTGAATAGTACACACTTGGTAAAAAGTCTTTATATAAAGCAATAATCAACGTTATATGACTTCTGTAGTTGTTAAAGTGGCGTAAAATAAGAGGACATACATCTTCGTGTTAGGTTTTCACGTTTGTTTCCCGCTTGTTTAGTGATTCTAAATGTAATTAATGTCACGAAACCAGCAGCTTGTTTGCGCGGAGAAGTGACAAAACTTCCGCAAGTCGCGAGGTCACACGAACCGTTGTAACGGTGCACACGAAAATTCCTTTTGGATTAGGCAGTTAAGTATCTATTGTCGAACGCTTTGTTACTGAGAGCCAGGCGACCCCGCTCGAGTTGAGACACAATGGAAACAAAAACACTTCCAAAAGTCGGGGCGGACAGCCAGTCTGGAGTACTTGAAAAAAGGCGAGTTACCCGTGTGCATTACTACGCCACATAGGACAGATCGCCTACAGACCAAACAGATCAGGAAACACTACACGCTGCAACAGCTGGACTCTGTACCACGATCATCCTGCTTTTCTCAGCCGCTACCCCAAGTCCAAAACGTGGCCGCGCCATAGCTCAAGCGGTTAGTCGCTGGTTTCCCACCGTGGTGGCCCGGGCTCGATTCCGGGTCTGGTCAAGTGGGATTTGTGGTGGACAAAGTGGCGGTGGGGCAGGTTTTCTCCGAGTACTTCGGTTTCCCCTGCCAATCTTCATTCCACCAATTGCTCCAAAATCACCCTCACCTATCATCTGGGGCTGGTACAATAGGCCAGAAGTGGCCGCAGTACAAGGGACTTAGTCCCACCTCACTTGTAATAAAAAAAAGCCCAAAACGTAATTTAACATCTCACAAGAGCAATCATTCATTATTTTAAAGCCGTGAACGTATGCTTATATAAACTCTATTCATAATATGTTTCATTTTTCGTTATGCTCCCATATACATAAGCATGCACTAAACAATACAGTCACAGAATATCTAAGACTGACAACCCTTTAGGAAAACATAACAAATGAATAACATTTAAAATGAGCAATAAGTTCTGGGAAGAACTAATCGCCTACTCTCCTTCGATACGACACGGACCCCCAGAGAAAACAACGTCTCCAACAATTCTTCGTTACCGTGGGAACGTTTTTACCGAGTTGTTACCTAGCAAACATAAAGGGACACACAGACAGAACCGCAGACACACTCGTCCAGTTCTGTTGTTGCGTGTAATTTCTGCTGCTGGAACGTTTTTACCTAGCCGTTGCGTAACAACGAAAGGATGAATACAATTTGCCGAGAGTTTGTCTAGCAACAATAGGAGGGATACCCATACAGATACACTTGCGAGTGGGGAGGGACTTATGAAGAAAGCTGTTTAGATGTGCTTAGATGCTGTGACATACATACCAAGTTTCATGGAGACTGGTTCAGGGATTCAAAAGTTCATATGGGGGAGGGGGGAAATTCGCTGATATACAGACAGCATGGTGATTGTATAAGCCTGTTTCAATTTCTTCAAACTAAGGAAAGTAGGCTAAAATGACTATTATTCAGAAGTGCAGTATATAACTAATAGACATATAAGGCAAAGCTTAAAGTTTACACTGTGCTTTAGTAATTTAGCGTCACACCATGAAAACATACTGGGGAAGAGAAGGACTAGATCCAGCGTTCTTTACCTTGGCAGTAGACAGGGGTGAGTACCTAGTTTCACATTCCGGCCGCTTTACCCACAGGGAAAGCGCTTCCGGTACCCACTGGATGACACACACAGAAATAAGAAAAATGTCGGAGATGTAATAAAGAAATCGAAGCAGAGGAAGACGGTGATGTTACATAAAATAAAATTTTAGAGCAATGTCAGGTGCGAATGAGGGGCATATGCAGTACAGTACAGTGTTAGGTAAAAATAAAGTTGCCCCTGTGCTTAACTACTTAAGTACCACGCCATGAAAGCGTATGAACGAGTGGATATATAGAGCCACATTTTCTTGACCTCGACACTAGCTGGAGGTGAGTGGTCAGCTTCATGCTCCTGCGGCTTTACCCCCGAGGATATAAAGCTGAGTTTGCCCCCAAATCGGTCTAGAGGCTGTGGAGAAGATAAAAATCTGTATTTTCTGCGGGAATCGAACCCAAATTACTGACCGTCCAATTCGTAGCTAGCCATTATACCTACCGAGCTATCCCGGCTCCCTCTTTCTATGTAGCTACGTAGCTACTGATTATTTACTTTTGTGGGTTACCGTTTACCAGTGTCCAGCAGCAGTCAGTGAAAATACTGGAGCCCACTTAACTGGTTTAACCTTGAATCTTCGGTATTTCTTCATGAAAGCCTTGTTCATAATCATCACTAGCGGGGGAAAGCCGGGTGTGAGTCCAGAAAATTAATTTTAATGACATTCTGCATCTTTTGACTTTATCTGCACGTAGAAGTTCTTGAACAAGTGATTCGTAATCATCTGCCTTGAAGTTCCCGAGGGAATTTGTGGTCACTGCCATGAATGATCTCCAAGCTGTATCTGCAGCTTCAGACATTTTTATCTACCGCGCTGTGGCTAATGGTTTCTCTGCAAGGCCAAAAATAGCCCTTCCTTCCTTCTGAAATAGGTGATGCTCAGAAATTGCTGCTCCAACCAGAGAAACCCGCTGCTATTTTGATCGATAACTCTTAACAGAATATTTTTGTACTGACTGCAAGAAAACTGCTTTCCTGATTAGCGATTGTGTTCTTGTTGCCACACCTCATCTTCGTTTATGTGTTTGTTCACTTTTTCTGTATTAATGTGTGCTTGCCTGTAATTTGACTTTGACTTTATGTAGTGTTCGTCCATAATGTAATTACCTGTATCTACACTGTGTTCTGTCAGTAATTGGCCTTGTGGCTGTTGCCTCGGAACATAAATAATATAGAATTGTATTATTATCATCATCATCATAAGTGGATCTATACATCCACTCCCGCATACGCCTTCATGGCGTAGTGCTTAATTAGTTAAGAAGCGGCCTCCGTAGTCTAGGGGTAACGTTCCCACCTCGTGACTCAACGTACGCGGGTTCAAACCCGGCGGAGGTCGTGGAATTTTTAAGGGCGGAAAATTTCAGGGAACAAGTCCTCCGGGAGGGACTTTAAGCCGTGGGTCCCGTGTCGTAGCTTTACGGCACGTAAGAGAACCTCATGTCCCAAGGGGACCTCTGAGTCAAATTCAGGACATTTCCCGCCCAACAATAGTCTCTAACGCCTCTGGTAGATGGGGGAAGCATCGAGATACCGCTGAGCCAGTAGAGGCCGAACTCGCTGGCTGAGTCGGGACTGATGGCACGCACCAGTACCGGCAGAGTATGGAGACTGGTAGAATATCATAGGGGGACGCACAATGGACCAATATCTGGTCTAAGTGCATGGGGAAACCCACCCTCTCCAATAAACAACAACAACAATAATTAGTTAAGCACAGGTAAAACTTTAACTTATTATTTCGGGAAGAAATTATTACATTAGCACAATTTCTTCTAGACTACGTTAAATTTGTCGGACAAATCCTCAAAATTTCGCACCGTCGCCTAACTGTTCACTGTAGTTTTTTACCTTTAGTATCTCATAGGTAACGTGAAGGCATTTTTGTGACCACAATTCCAAACATCACAGGTTTACTTGGAATACTTAGTATTCGCCATCAAACCGAAAGCTTACTACAAATTTCACGTGGACGCCATTTTGTTGTTTTACATCCTAGGAAATGCTAGCGTAGGAAGATTTGTACGCTCATATTTTCGACGATCTATTATTACAATACATCTTTGAGATCTAAAAAATTAAATGGCTGTAGTGGCGCGAGCCAAACACTCCCGAATGCAAATTTAGAGCGTTATGGGCATGCCAAACCTGATGGCATAAAATCTATGCCGTATTTCGTGAGTATCGGTCAATTGATTCGTCAGCTGAAATGCGGCACAGACAGCATGGTAATATCATAAGCATATTTTCTAACCTTCAGAAGTAATGTAGACCGAAAACTTATCCAATAGCCGTATCGGAAACAACAAAAGAAACAAGCGAAATACAAAGCAGTAGACAGCCATGTAGTTAAAAGTATTACATTGCAGGCCTCTTGAACTTCTAAATACTCTAAAATTGTAAATAAAAAAATTTCCTCCGGGCCGGATTTGAACCAGCGACCTATGGATTACCGCTTCAATTATCCAACTACAGTCCACCGCTCTACCAACTGAGCTACCAGAGGAACACGCCTGGAGTTTGTCACTTGATGTAGACACAGATCAATACCGTGAAAGCTCAACAAAATAGAAACCACAGTTAAAGTCGTGGTTAACTGCAAAATCGTCATTAATTACGATCCTTCTATTTTAACCTCATGCTGCTTAACAACAATCAATGATATTTTCACATTAATCTGCATACAGTTTTAATTCCTTCACTATATTAACAATACGTTCGTTTAGTTAGCGGTGTAACATAGCAACGTCTTCCCTGTTCCGCGTACAGTTACTTCATATGAGTACTATAGTGTCACGCATGACCGAACAGGCTGAAAAGCAAAACAAGACTGTACCACACACAGTGTCAAAGTCAAAGTTATGTTACGATCGACGGTCAGGCGACTAGTCTGTCTTGGAATAAAGCACCCATCTGTGGCCTTAAGACCAGATCTTTGTTACTGTATGACAGCTGCAGGCTTGTTGATGTGGGGCGCTCTCTCTGACGGGAGGACGGGGCGTTTGCCAGAGTCACAGTCAGCAGTAGTAAGTCTGATGTCAGTCCAGGCTCAGTACAGCAGATCATGCCTACGAAATCTAGTGGTCACTTTGTTGCATGAGATTTAAGAAAATTCTTGTAATGGCCACCGTTTTAGCACTAGCCTTCTGTAACACAGCGCAATTAAACTCTGTCATAATCTGCTGTGCTGTCGTTACTACTACTTTCAACTCTTTGTCCAGAGGCAAACTGTTTACATTTGGGGCCCGAACTGTTCGTGTTGGAGTAAGGCCACAGGGACCACGGGTTCCTTTNCTGCCACTGTCACCTGATGTGTCTGAGGCTGCTGCTGTTCCTCTGTCCCGCCTCGGAACGCCGCCGCGAAGGACATGCTGGAGGCGTCAGGTTTGAAGAGAACACCCTTCCTGTTGTAGTCCCGGGTGTCCTCTGAGACTGCTTTTTCTGCATTTCCTCTTTCGCGTGTCTGCAGCCCTAATAATTGGCGGAATGGGGGGTTTCCTCTTCCGTCAACCAGGCAATTGCAGCATGTTGAAATGGAAAATGTATCCCCTTTCTCGGGGCACTCCTTGTGCATCTGATGGCCCCGCACCACAAGCAGCGGGGAGGTTGCTGGCAGTTATGCACTGCGTAAGGCCACTCTGAGCTCTGCATGCCTCCTCCCTGACCGCGATGTGACAGAGACTTTGCAGTCGGAAAATTTCTTGGGATTTTGCCGTCATTGGCAAGATTATTAGGAAAAGGGGGAGGTTTATGGTTTTTGATCCCTAGGGAGCTGACCGACGGGTGACTGTCATCTGTTTGACGCTAACGTCAAACCGAGGCTCACCAGCCCGTCAGATGTCTCTTATGCAGGGGTGTTGTGTGGCAGTTGACGTATCACCGCCTTCATAGATCTCTCTGGCTACCCCACACAACCTGAATGCAGTGTAGATAAAATTGAAAATTCAAATTATGGACTGTAGAGTAACACTATCAGAACATCATAAATTAATCTACATCGTTGTAAAGAACTTCTATTAATCGTAAATATGTTAAACGCGATAAAAACGACCAAATGAAAAATAGTGCAGTACCTAAAATTATTGCGATAATGATATACCCCTAATGATGAGTCTACACGGGCTGAAACACGCTGAAATGCCGAAAAATATATTATATTACCGCATACTCATAGGCATATGTATGTGTGTGTGTGTGTGTGGCGTATAGAGCAGTTTGTAAGCTGTGACTCTGTAAACAGAGGCCGTTGCTAGGTAACGGCCGGAACATATACACACGCAACAATGGAAAACGGGGTTAGGCAACCTATTTCTAAGCAGCGTATCTGTAAAAGCGCCTCTAAAACAACAAGAGTTATGATTTGAAATTGTATTTTCTATTCGGTCCGTACAAAGTGGTTATAAAGAAGAGAATCTGTGCAACCAGTTGAGGGTTTGCAGGTCAATTGAGCTTTGCAAGGGTGACTGAGAAGAGGTGGCGCTATAGTTGAGTCGACAGTTGACAAGAGTTCTACATTGCGGCTGTGACAAGAGGACCTGATAGCATGAAGCTGAAGAATCTCCATGTTAGAAGTCGTTGCCAGGGAACGGTTGGTAAAGACATATCAGGCAGGAAAGGGCTTAGCATGTGCTAGTGATTTTTAAAGTGTGGAAATCAGCGATAGCGCTGTAATTACTCGGAGTTCCGAGTGGTGTGTACAAATGGTCAATAAATCCATTCACCACTCTAAACCCCGTCCATAGTCACACCCCAGAAATCGTTACAATACATAAGGATGAATGAATGTAAACATGACATGACCACCGCAGCCCAATAACCGTGAAGCACTAAACGCGAATTAGGAAAAATAGGAGAAAAACAAAAAAAGAATCATATTATTTAGCCATGAAGAAGGAGGCAAGACTTCCCTCCGAAATGTCAAATACACGGCGTCATATCACTGAACAGAATACTCTACGAAGTACAGAAACTGCCATTTTTCATGACGTACTTCTACCTTCCCGGTACTCATTTCTGTCAGAGGCTGAGTCGACCCCAGGGACATAGTGCGGCTGGAAGGATTGGGTGAACTGAAAAATCCAATGACCTCATCGAGAATCAAACCCGCGACCTTCCAGATTGTAGCATAGTGCGCTACCGAGATCTTCCTCGCGGTAATGGGCGGCCGGCGCGTAAGACTCAAAACTTCACCGCCATCTGTGGGTCTAATGTCCATAAAATATGAGAGCCTCGGCGTCTCACGACACTAAGGACCTCCACGGCTTGTTCACACATCAGTCATACCACATGTTCTGAATTCTATTGAACACAACAGCAGTGCACATCATATGTAGTAATTTCAGCAGTGAAGTTAACAAGCGATCTGCACACACTCCAAGCTTCTCTTTTCATGCCTATTCTGAAATAATTTGCTGTGGGACTTATTATCGACTCGGCTGAGCTGTTTACAAGCGACTTCCAGTGCGTTAGACAATATTTCGTATTCAAAACCTGGGAACTATGCCTAGACTTAATTATGTAGTTTACGTAGAAGCATTTCCTACAGAGAGCACGAAGACTATTGCTCATACCGCTATTACCCGGTCGCCAGGACCTCGTGGCAATGACGTTGACAGTTAAAGAATGACAGGGTATAAATTGGCATCGAAAGAGTTAACCTTCGTGAAGGAAGTAAGGAAAGTCACTGCGGAAGGTCACCCAGCTGGTATGCGAGCGGAGTATGAGCCTGTGCCAAGTCACCAAATTCCCACGTTCCGTCTCTCTACACTCTGAACCAGGGTACAGGCAAACTTACAGACGAAAATCCCGTGTACTTACGCCTGAATTTCCCACCGGCGTGTGGGTACAGGAAGTATGTGTGCACGCATAAAATAGTAAAACCTCCTTGGCTTTAGTCTACAAGCGGACTATACCGATCGAGCGACCGCCGCTTGTTGGGGAAGTTAGTATAACTTTAGAGGATAGAGGGTGTCGCGTGGTCAGCGCAACGGATCCCCGCGGTCGTTAATCTCGTTTTTCTAGACCGGAGCCGTTATTTTCTTGAAATAGCTCCTCAATTATCCTCACGAGGCTGAGTGGACCCCGTTCCAGACCCACCAGTTCTCAGAAAATCTGGTAACGCCGGAAATCGAACCCAGAACCTCAGGATCTGTAGGCAGGAACTCTGACCGCTAGGCCATAGAGGCGGTCATATAGAATCTAGTAACTTGACAGAAATAACGCGACGATCTCCACCACTTACTAAAGACGCACCCCTGTTCCCCTAGCAGATGGAGTGTATGAAGCAGTTTGAATTAACACGATGTTTAATTCGGGGCAAGGCCTGACAATAAATCAGCGTGGAGCGACCTGTGCTCTTTTTTTACAGCACCTGAGGGTCTTCCATGACGATCAATAAAGCACGAGGCGATGCGACTTTTTACTTAATCGATAGTTCCTGGTGACTTTACGGTTGCATCTCGGGCCACACTGCATTCCACCTTATCAGAACTAACCGGTACAGACTTAGACTAGGAAAGCACCACGCCATAAATACGAATGCGGGAGTGGAGGTATAGCTCCACCTCGGCATTATATAAAATTGAGTGGTCAGCTCCACGCCCCGGCCGCCTTATCCCATGGAAAAGCTCCCGCCTACCTATTGGATAGAAGGCCGGGTGGAAACCATAACCAGCCTGGACGCTGCGCAGAAGACAAAAAATTCTTGCCCCTGCCGGCAACTGAACCCCGGCTGTCCAGCCCCTAGGCGTCGTTAGGCTGGCTGAACTTTCATAGGGAAATAAGCCGCAGTAAGCATTACAACATATGACTATTTCGTAACCACTAGATTACCATTGTCACCATGAACTAGAAATGTAGAATATTAAAATACGTTCACAAAAGAAAATCCGATCTGACGAGGAATGATTTTAAAAGAAAAGTTTTAGTAATACGCCAGGTAATTTTTCTACCGCTTAAGAGTGACGCTATCTATCTATCTATGTATCTATGGCTCTACAGCCCTTCTGGACCTTGGCCAGTTTTTCAGTTTCCTAATCCATACACAGCCGGTAGGACTCTTTGGACGAGGGATCAGACCGTCACAAGGCCGACCTACACACAGAAAAGAATAGATACACAGACATCCATGCCTCGAGTGGGATTCGACCCACGATCCCCGTGTTCGATCGGGTGAAGACAGTTTATGCCACTATGATCGGCAGAGTAATGCTATACATCCACCAGAACCATATTTCTCGCGTCTTAATTGTATTTCGCGGCAAAATTTTTGACGTTTCGGATATTAAAAATGGAATTAACTTTCTGGTGTGTCCGTTGCCACCCACATTCAGAAATTCTACGCAGTTTGCAGTGTTATCGGACATTGGGAGAAACAGCACTGCCACCACCGTCAAGTTAGTTTTTCTTCTTCATAAATTTGTCGGCGAACCAATAACGTGGCGGTGCCAGTAGCAAGCCACCAACCAAGCGAAAGACGGAGCCTGTAATTAATTCTGGCGTGTAATT